CGACAAGTGGACGCTGCAGGTTGATCGCCTGGCGGAGGTGGCCACCACTCAGCCACATGCTGCGTACGAGGTGTTTGTAAAGGGCCTCGTGTCCAAGTGGCGGTACCACTTGCGCGTCCTATCTTGCCCTGCGCATCTTCTGGCCCGTCTCGACGCCGCCATTACGGACAAGCTGCTGCCAGCGCTCAGCGGCCATTCGTGTTCGGAGGAGTCGGCACTGAGAAAGTTGCTATCGCTACCAGCGCGGTTTGGTGGCATGGCAATCCCTGTGCCCTCGGTGGAGGCCGAGAAAGAGTTTTCTGCATCCAGACAGATTGTGGCTCCTGTGGCGGCCTGCATAAGACCACCAGAACATCCAACCAGCACCAACGAAACTACTCAAACAGACCAGCTGAACGAGGCAATAGCCCTCAGCCGGCAGGAGGCCGGGCGTATTCGCAGAGAGAAAGCTGCCCAAGCCACGGGTCTCGTTAGCGAATTGCGCCCGGATTTGACAGCAACACAGGCTCTGTTGGTGGAGAATGCCGCGGAAAAGGGCGTATCATCTTGGGTAACGGCGGAACCATCGTCCCAAATGCAGATGGTGCTGAACAAATCGGATTTCCGAGATGCGTTCTGCATCCGCTACGGCCTGCAGCCTGACGGACTCCCCCTGACTTGTGTATGTGGTGCTGCAAACACAATAGACCATGCGATGATGTGTCCGGCAGGGGGCTACCCCATGGCACGCCACAATGAGATCCGGGACTTGTTGGCTGACGTGATGCGTGAGGCGGTCCGGGATGTGGAGGTAGAACCGCCTCTACTACCATATGATGGTGAGCGGCTCCAAGGGAGGACAGCCAACCGCTCGGCAGGTGCCCGCCTGGACATCCGGGCTTGTGGCTTCTGGACGAGACAGCAAGATGCCTTTTTCGACATCCGGGTTACACACCCAAAGGCAAGCTTGCTGTCGCGTCAGGAAGTCATCAGCCAGCTCCGAACGCATGAACGGATGAAGAAGCGCCAGTACGGAGAGCGGGTGACAGCAGTTGACAGAGGTACGTTTACACCGCTAGTTTTTTCTACCTCGGGCATGATTGGCAGAGAATGTTCAATGGCACTGAAGACACTGGCATGCCTGATTGCTGAGAAGAACGTCGACCTACACGTATCGGTAATCATGGGTCAGCTCCGTTGTAAGCTGTCAGTCTGCCTTATGCGATGGGCAGTCACCTGTTTGCGTGGTTCAAGATCGTCATACCGCCGCAACAGGATGAATTTCACGACGATGTGCAGGTTGCGGGCAGCCTGAGCGTGATAGTACCTGACAGACATTTGCCCAACATTGCCCCATGATAATGAATTCTTGAGTTTTTGGACATTGTATTGCATTGCTGCTCCATCTACATGGCTGTATTTGTGTTTCACATCTCCATTTCAAGTTTCCTAATAAAGATTGTGTCAAGTAGTAGTAGTAGTAGTAGTAGTAGTAGTAGTAG